GTATCATTTGTCAAAATTCAAACTTTGAATGCTTATAAAAAAAATTGTGACTATGAATTTCTTTGMCTATAAATAGTTCAACTTAAGTCGAACATTTTTGAAAATTGCATGGTGGATAGAATATACTTATATAAATATTCGGTGAAAATTTCATGTATCTATGGTCATTCGTTTTAAAGTTACATCAAAAACCAAAATCGATTTTGTCGAAAAATGAGTGTGCATAATATTTCCCGTTTTTCCCTTAATTTTTAGTTTGTTTTTCTCGATTATTTAGTAAAGTATTAGTTTTTCACTTTTGACCCCCCAAAGTACCAACTATATTCACTTTCTAATCGAACGAGGTATTGAAGTCAAAAATCGAAGCACTTTTACTGCCCCAAAACGTGATGACAGACACAAAAAAAAAAAATAAAAAATAAAAACACACGTCATGGTAAAATCAATACATTCATTGCTCCGCTCAGAATCTAAAAGTCTGGCGGAATCGTTGAAACTCCACATTTTCAGTATCGTTGGTTTTTTAATAATTTAATATCTTCTTTTATTTTAGTAGATATCTAGACCACTATTTTTACTGTCTTTTCAGTCTTATACGTACCTACATACCAGGAATTGAGGTGGAAGAAAGTTTGATTTATTAATTGGTTACTGTGAGAGTTCAAGTTGGTGTGAAATTTAAAGTAATAATAATTAATATTAATATAATTTTGCTAATTGATTGAGTGTTGGAATTTTTAAGTCTTTGTTTAGATTATTGTTTGTGAAGTACCATGKCGATGTTATTATTTATTAGTCGTAGGCAGATGGATTGAAAAGCCTGAAGTATTTTGGTGTTTGATGGTTTTGCCGTGCCCTAACTGGATACCGTATGTCCGTATATCTATTATTATTAATATGATGAATTATTTTGTCTCTATATGTTAATTAAAAACAAACCTTTTTACTTGAAAAATTAATAATGATTAAAATAATTACAATAGTTTCAAATAATGCAATTGATTTCTTTTTCGGCATTCATGCCAATCTTGTTGAACTTATATGCTAATAATTTAAATGGTTTCGGAATAAATGACTGAAAAATCATTATATTTATAAATATATTTTATTTAAATACAATTTGTGAAATATTGTGTATAAAAATTAAAATATTCGTATAAGGTATAACGTATAACTGTATAAGCGTAATGTAACAATAATAAAAGTACATGCATTTACATAACAATTATTAAAATTAAAACTATATAATTATCTTATCTTAATTGTAAAAGAGGTTCAATATAGGTTCAATAGTCGAACATATGTATATACTATATAATATACACCCGCATGGAAATACGCATAAACCGATTATAAAATGTTTTTGATATACTTACAATATAAATTTATAAACAATACATTATTAATATAATAATGAATAATTATTGAATGTATATGAAATATTTATATAATTTATTTATATATTATAATATCAACTTAAATAAAATTATAAATTTAACATTTGTTACTACACTTAAAGTACTTTAATAATTCCTCCCAAATAAGTTACTAGGTAGATACTTCTTTATACTTAGTATAATCAAATGCAAAAAAATAAGTTTTCTGCAATGCCAATTATAAAGTAACTTTTAACAGATATGAAATAATGTAAATAAAGTAATTTATATTGGCTAGGCTTTCATWATTTATAATGTGTGATTGTTATTAAACCAGAATTACTTTAATTATTTAAATAATTACATTAGTTTTGTTGCATACCTCTTAGTTCTTACTATTTATAAAATGTCATTTATTTTAATATTTTTTCATAATTAAACTTRACATTTGTTCAAAAAATAATAAATTGTACGCACATATTTTATTAAAAGCAAATAGATTAATAAAATACGATGATTACACAACAATTTCCACACGATTTGAATGTTAATATAATATATAATATAATTATATAACTCTATTGTACGTGTATAGACATTCTAAACTTTTAATCATTATTTATAATTATAAATCTATAACTAATATACAAAATAATTTAGTAACTTCTATAAACACGTACAAAAAGAAGTTTTACAAAACATCCTACAGATGCAAATCAACTAATTTTTTTTTTTTGATCACAGATAAATAACAAATAAGTTCAAAACTAGTTTTCAGTCTCATTATTTATTTAAAAAATATAATATTGAATACAACAAAATTTGGCTTTACGTTGGTATTTATGAAAATTCATTTTAACAAAGTTAATTACAGATGAATAATTAGTTCCATAACCATTATAAGTTTTTAATTTGAGTTGATATAATAATTTAGCTCATTTTTAAAACGCTTTTTGAATTAAGTGATATTTTTTTACATTGTCACGTAGATTTAAAAAGATTGGAATGTTTTTAAAAACTTACCTAATTTTATTTTAACCGTTAAAAATGTATAGATATAAATTTTGTTTACATGGTTGTGTCCAATTAAAGCTGTCATTGCCACCGACTTTATAAAATAGAATAAATATGTTTTATTAGAATATTATAAATATCTGTATTTTTTAAATTGATATCTTATTAAATATTTGTATAATCAATTTTAATCTTTATGCAGGATATTCATAATGATAGTTTATTGTAGCTTAAAATATAAATTATATAGTTAATAAAATTGACTGACGATTTACTGTATGCTAATATACATAATACAATACATATTATACTACCAAAGGTTATAAATTGAGCTGTAGTATATATATATATAAATGATTAGCATAATTAGTCGTATAAATATTTTATGAGATATTTTAATACTTCAGGCGGGATCCTTAGTAATTCTTATATTAATATTTATAACTAAGTGTTTGGTTCAACATTTAAAATCACAGAACGTTTTA